CTCAAATTATAGCCGAGTTAAGATCTTTGCATGCGGAAGACGGCAAAAGGGAAGACGACCCAGCATCACTTTGATGGACAGACACAATTGGGTTACAGGGAACGGATTCCGTGGTCGTTGCAATGGCAACTATGTGGTATATGATATCATCTCGAGAAATTCTTCGTAAATCCAGAAATCCAGCGAGCAAAGTCAAACTCAAAGCTAAGACGCCCACAGTCGCCCGTCAACCGCAAAAGAACGTCGTCGTCGTTGTCATCTTCATCATCGTCATCAGATACGGATACAGATTTAGCAATGCGATACAAAAATTAGCAAATTGTTATTTTTATAATTTAATTGAAACGCCAACGACCCAAAAAGTGCCAGAAGCAAACGGCAAGAGCCAAACAAAAGACAAAAGCTCACGACTCAGAGCCAAAAATTATGCAAATACCAACGAAATACAATCAAACCAAGACACATCTGAAAATTAACAAGATAATCTTCTCTTCTTTAGTTTTCATATTTTAAGTATTTTTTCTGTATCTCACACGTCTCTTATGGGTTTAAGCACAATTTATAGAATGGTGCACGTCTGCCTCCGACTTTCATATGCGCATTCATGCAGATTATTCAGTTCACTCCATTCATAACGCAAATCATTCATGCGAATTTGGCATTTCCATTTGCATATTCTTTGAGTGCTCTTTGTGCCTATCGATGCTATTTTAACGAATAGTTCATGTCTTTTATAAATAAAAAAAATATACTAATTTATATTAACAGAAAGAAGCTAATAAATAATATTTGATAGACTAGCAGTCATTAATGGTCGTCTAAAAAAATAACATGGATTGCTAACTATTTAACGATGTTTCACTGTAATCTAAAACGAAATGTTCTACATTGATTAATAAAAAAAATGTACTTCTATATATATCGATGACCAAAAAAATTGAGACTTCAAACGTAAATTATACGGTGGTCTATTAAATCTATCTGTTTATTTTTTTTTTTTTTATCTGTTTATACTATGTTTCCTGTTTTAATGTCAAATATTTTATTCGATCTATAAATATAAAGAAAGCTCTTGTTTAAACATAACTCATTAAATAAGAAGGTGTATTATATTAATTGTGGCCTTTTAAAAGCTAAAATGTTGGGATTAACACTTTCACCATTTTTTGATCCATCGTAAAATGTTTTTAATTCCAAATTTTGTGCTTACGCTGGATAATTACGTATAGGAAACATTTTTGTAATTAATAAAAAAATTACAAAGTAACATTTTTATTTATTTTAGCAGCTTATTAAAATTGTTCATATAACAATTCCCAGGGGAATCACATATTCTTGTTCTTTGTGTACCTTTTCCCTAATGGTTGGATCTCGAAAGATATATGTGTGAACAAAAAATAAAGTGAAGTACAACCCAGAAGTACACTTTAAGTTTTATGAAACTTGAACTTCTACCAGTAAATGCAAAAAAACAACAAATAAACCCAGCATCTTGTCACCTTGCAGATAAGTTTCCACATTTTAATCCGAAACCAAAAAGAGTACAATACAACCGAAGAAGTATAATGTGGGTAATAAGCGCCATTGCGGTTTAAAAGTGACCCAAATTCGCAGGGCCTTAATTTAAATGGAAGAAAACTAAAGTCAAATCGGTTTGATGCTATTAAAAAGTAGGTGGCTAAGTGGGAAACTTTCATTTTTATCAGCGAATCACATCGCCAAACCGCTTGTCCGGAAAATACAACCCACCAGCAACGATAATAATCGGGGAAAATGGTTCCTTACTTCAATTTATCAATTTGATCTACAAGAAAACGCATTTGATTCTCTGATATGCTTTTATATAATCATCTAACCTCGGCAAGCTCGCGGGCACTTGATGCCAGGCAAACGAGTGGGACTCTTCCACAACCACAAAAAATATTATTTTTTATTACAACTACGCCAAGAAATATGCGTGGGAATTGAGTTGGGAAAATTTCATGTTTACAATAAACAACCCAGGAGAAGCAGTAGCCATAATAACAACAAGAAAACTGAAAAGGTAAACCCAAAGGCATGTCTGGAGGAAACAAATGAAGTTGAACAATTTTGCTACTGTTTGTACCGAAGTGAGTGTAAAGTGCCACATGAAGAGGCTCTGAAAGAGACCCAAGATTCAAAGGGGCCAAGCCACTAAAGAGTAGCAGCGTCATCAGCGCGTTTTGCGGTCGTCATCATCATCATGGAGGTACAACCTCCTCCTAACAATTAATCCTGGAGGCTTTCTGACTCCTCTGCCACATAATCTCATTTCTATTCCTTTGTTTTGGAGACTTAACCGTGAAATATTGCATTTCATGGGCATGCATATTTTATATTTTAATTAGGAGTTTTCTTTGCCACTTTTATTACAATGCTAATTAGCTCAGGAGCACAGCGGAAGCTAAACTTAATGGGAGGTAAGAATGTTTGTGTGTTTGTGATGGTCGCCGGACATGAAAATTTGTGAGAGCCTCACAGGACCAGTGGCAATCTAAATACATTTATGGTTGTTTTTGCTCTTGTTTATAATAATTTATTTATCTTAATCGGAATCGGAAAAGGTTAAAACTAGTGACGATCGCACCTTCAACATACAAAGTTCTATAATAACTTTTGCGACAAGATGTATTATCCACTCAATAAACACACCCTATTTTTTTATTCTGCACGATTCCAATGGCTAGTTCTACTCTTTTATGTATGTAATATATGTTATACTTTACATACTTTTCCCCACCCCCCCTTTTACAATGTAGCCTTTTACTCTTCGACTAAAAAGTACAATTCTTATTAACCTGTGAAAATGCTTGTAGAGAATAGCCTCTCGTGCTTGTTAGGCCCAGACACTACGAGGAAAATGGCTTTGACAACATAAAAAGGTAACCAATTCTAAGAAAAAGTTTTTATGTTTTCAGTCTTGTTCGCTTTTGAAATTGGGTTCTGGTTATAATGACAGGTCTCTCCAAAGATTGGCTTTAAAAAAAGCTATAGAATCAAACCTTAAAAAAAAGCTTGCTATGGAGAGCTTCTATTCAAACCTTTAAGATATGTATACCAATAACAATACGTTTTTTACCTTCTCCAACCTGTCCCATGTCCATCAAACTTTTTTCAGACATTACTTGACGTTGACTTTCAAAACACGTGTCACTATAGTCCGAAAAATTTTATTATGCATATCATAATATTCATCGAAGTAACTAAACGTAAGCCTGTGAATATGTCATTTCTTTTATGAATAATTAACGACATTTAAATGCTTCACTCGTAAATTAATAGAAAGTCAATTTTGAGTTTATTTACTCAAAGTGATTGTATTGGACTTAAAGTGAGGGGAATGACGGAATTATTGACCTGCTGAGAGTTTACGATTTGGAAAAGACAAAATCTTGCGGATCGACTGAAATGACCTGTTTAACCTTAGGCGATAAACCGAGAAAATTTAAATTTAATCAAATGGCAGTTAAAAGATATTTAAAAAGTTTTGAATAAATCCTTGTTTTAGGTGTGCTGATCGAATAGTCCGACAGAAGTTTTTATAATTATTATGAGAAATTCTTTATTCTAGGTTTAAAGTTTCGTCTCTTGGCTGGTTGCTGCCAAATTCCGATTATCAACGGGATTATTTAAAGAAAAGCGCCATAAATTCTGTTGTCCCAAAATGTCTCAACGCCAAAAGGAAAATACAAAAACAGAATAAAAATACGTGTTTCCCAATTTTTAGCTCCGTTTTCTCTGTCTTTTCACGCCGAAAACCCGAAGAAACGGGAAGAATTCCTGTCTGGCTAAGACAGGGAGCTCTCTACAAATATCTCGGATATTCGAGTATATATAGCTTGCATATACGCATATATATTTATATGGAACCTATTTCATCTAATTTCTTTCATTTCTATCCACATGCCTTGCTCTATTTTTGTGAGACGCATTTTTAGCGCTGTATTCGTCACCGTATTTTCTTGCTATAACTCAATTTTCATTGCATTTTCCTACTCCTCATTTTTATCTTTTATCTATTTGGCTTCTTTTCGAATTTCGGTTTTTATGGTTTTTTATTTGGCCTGCTCTATTTCTGTGCACATTGTTTTCGTGTGCGCTTGTCTGGCAAACATTAAAACCCAAAATAAAAGCATTTCCCCATTTTAAAGTTCGGGGCAGCCTTAACATTAAATCTTCTTTTCCTCCATTTCACTAATTTAAATAGTACGCTCTATAAAATATTCTGATTTCATTCACCATAAATTATCGAGAATCTAAAAAATCCGAGATCTCTGAACTTGCGCTATGCCATTGCAATGGAAACACTACGTTTTTCTCAGTTTTAAGCACATACAAAATGAATAGGAAATTATGATTTCAATCAGAAGTTTTCAACTCAGTGAAGTAGACATTTTCGACCTTAGTATAAATATTCTAGATCAGCGTCAGTAACCGAGTCTACAAAACCGAGTCTACAAAAAACCACCCTAAAAGAAATTTTAATGCAATATTTTTTATAATTTTTTACGTATTAGTATACGTCGAATTGAACACAAAAATTGGTTTTAGGGTTATCGCATGTAGGGCTTTGTTGAAAAAACTACCACTTTGGAACGATTCAACCGATTTTTAAAAAACACGTGTCTAAACCGGATCTAAAAAAAAAATTTATATCTTTGGTTGCACTAACCGGATTAACTATTTTTAAAACCAGCATTGTTAATATAAGGTTGTAACTTTTTATTTAAAAAGTAAAAGATTAAAAAAAATTTTATTTAGTGTGACCCTTATATTACTTTTTTTAAATGTACATACCAATTTATGCACTTTTATATTATCTTGAAAAATTTTAATTTTTACATTTTTGCAATACCTTTTTTTCAGTGAATGCACCAATGTTCTACACAAAAAACACTGTGTTGCATAAAATGGGTTGACTCGTACAATGTAAACAAATGAGTATTATTAAATAAGCGATAAAGAAGGGAATGACTTACCATGCAAATCAGTTAGTCTTATTTTCGTAGAATTTTCAAAAGCCGCATAAAATACTGTAAGAAAAATAAAAAACTCGATAAGTTAACTAAATAAATTATTTTAAAGAACTTAGTATAACCTTACAGCTTAAGCCATATCGTGCAATTAAAATCATACTTATATTACATAAGCCGTACTGTCGAAATTTCTGTTAATAAATATACCTATAATTCCTATTACAGCTGTACAATAAAGTGGACCGGATTTTAAATAAAAAATCTCAAATTCTGAGGTCTTTAAGTAATGATAGAAGGGAATATGATAATAAAATGATAATAAAATCCTAAAGTCGAAGTTTTATCTCCGTTACTCGTAGAGATAAAGAGTATATTTTATTCGTCGAAAAGTATGTAACAGGTAAAAGAAAGCGTTTTCAACCCTAAAAAATATTTATATTCTTAATAAGGATCACTAGCCAAGTCGCTCTAGTTATGTCCGTCCATCCGTCTGTCCGAACAAACTTGAGATCTCGGAATCTTCGAAGTATAGAAAGTTTGGATTAAGCATACAGAATCTAGGGGTTCTTAGCGAAGCATATTTATATCAAAGGAGTACCACGGATATTCTATGAGGCAATCGAATAAAGCGTTTCTTTTTGATTTCATATTACTTTCTCATTTTCGATTGTTACTAAAACAGCTTTATAAAATAGTCGTCCGGTAAAAAAAGAATTGTATTTAATAATTGCATATTAACTAATTCCATTTCTGATCGTTTTTGTGCAAGAGCTGTAACCCAGAGTAAAATAAATTATTATCTAAACTAGAATGTTTATTTATTGATCAATTTAAACAATCTTTAAATTTTAATTTCTTATAGGGATATTACTATCTAATGTTTTTATATTGATTTTAATTATAATTATTCGTAATCCGATAAGCAGCAATTATTTTAGAACATTCTATTAAAAAGTACTTTCATATAAATAATAACTTATACTATACTTACAAATATTTTAAAAATTTATTACAGACTGCATAATTTGCGCAGCCAAAAATGCGTAACACCCTCGACAGCTAGGCGGCGATATTTTAATTTTTACACAGCCAAAATTCCTGAAGATCAGCCAGCCAGGTCGAAGAAACAGCGTAAAAATAGTCTCGAAATTCGCTATTTTCGTTGATTTTTCGTTCATTTGACAGCTCGGCATCAACTAACAAATTACAATAAATTATGCTGGCAAGAGACTACAGAAACGGCAAGATGAGTATCTATCGGCGAATCATTATTGATTGAGTGCGTTGTTTAGTTCTTTCTCGAACAATTAAATTTTACGATGATCACTTTGCAAGACATGGGATGGAACCGATCCATTCATCAAATTGCCACAGGCTAAGCGAAGTCAAACAAAAATTCTTGACAAATCTTCCAAGTTGTGTAGAAAATTAATATTTTTGCGGTTTCGGTTTCTGTCGGCTTATTGGGGCCGCTCGCCATACACCTCCAACTCTTCTCAGGCCGTTTCAATTAAGATGAACAAAACTCGGTTGTCGTCATTTCGGTGTGCCAAAATAAACTATTTTATTGCCCGCATGGCGCCAAAGCAAAGATGTATCTTGTATCTGGAAGCTGAACGCCAATGTGAAAATAAAATTAAGCGAAGTCGCGAGGCGAAGATTCGTATGTCCGTGCCAATTGCTAATAAATATGCAATTTAAACGCACAGAAACATTTCTAACGCACGCAAAGAAATTTAGAAAATTGTGGTAGAGGCAGTGATGATTTCGCAGATCCATCTGATGATATTATTTTCATTTGAAGATCAAACGCTGTGAGTGATGGCAGCCCTTTGCGATGGGATCATTTACTAAATTGATCATAAAACGGCAACGAGGCGTGGCGACACAAAGAACTCCAACGAAGTATTTCACTTATATAAACCCATTAAATGAACCCATTAAAGTGGCCGTTTCAGAAAATATACCTTACAAATAAACCATTTTTTAATTGTAAATTACTTAGTTTGTTTCATAGGTATTTTGTGGTTTAGGGCTTGTGAATATTAATAAATAACATTATTTCCTGATCCATAACTTTTAGTACAGTTATCAGCTGGACGTACCTACGACAGTGAATCAAATATCCACATAATAGAACACTTTCCGCCTCGTTAATTGACAGAATGAAAAACCAACTTTCTTTAGCCAAAAAACCCAGTTAAGCCTCAATTCAATAGCACGTACCTGGAGAGGGGAAACCTGACCAATATGGTCAGGTGTCTAGAGACTGATTTCTGGCTTATACCCCACCCCTCTGTATGCCTGTATCAAATGCTGATCAATGAACCGAATGCCCAGGCAGACATACAAATTAGAAAAAGCTATATAAAAATGCACGCAATTACAAGAGGCAAGGAAAACTTCGTGACAAGATTTTAAATTGTGTCTTAATAAGACACAAAAAATGTAAGACAATTTGAAAGTTGTTTTTTTTGCCGCTTTTTATCTTTAAGCGAAACTAAAAAAGTTACTAAAGAAACAGCAGACATAAAACAAAAACGAATTAAGTCAAAACAAATTTTAGAACAAAGAACCTAGAATGTCAAGTGTAATTGGCTTTTGCCATTGACTTCTTGGACAAATGTTTTCTCTTGTCTGATGTAGCTTTCCATGCAATAATTTACAGCTTTACGATTGCATTTTACAATTATTGTTTGCTTTGAAAGTCGCCTTGTCGATAAGATGGTTTGTGGTCCTTCGGTATTTACGAGCGCACCAAGCTAATGAAGAATCAGTGTTATTCTTGATTTTCCTGGGGAAAACCAACAAACTTTATAGATGTTCATATAATGTGCTGAATGAAATATCCTTGGTGCAGGTTTAAAAAAGAATGGACCATTTCTGATCTACCAAGAAACTTTTTCAAAGACATAAAATGTAATAATAATTAACAATGTCAATTCTACATTAAATTATACACCCACAATAAATACAGTTATAAATGTATTCGCTTATCGCTCTTTTTAAAGTTTTTTAAACTAAACCGCTTAAAAAGTGTGAGTACCACGAGTGGAGGGTATATCAGGTAGCGTAATCATATTTTAAGCAGACAATTACTGTTTTTTGTTTTAGGAGGATTAGCTGATTAACGAGTATCTGATAGGCGAGGCACTTGAATATAGCGCTCTCTCTTGTTTATATTTTAGCTTTAGATAAAGTAATTTCACAAAGATTGCGAACCCATGACAAAGCAATGTATTGTGATTTGTCCAACAAAAGAGTCTATTATAGTGTGCCTTAGACCAGTTAAGACACCCAGTTAATATTTTAGTACTCAGTTATCACACCGAAGTGACTGATTGGGTGACTAAACTATGCCAAGTTCCACAAAGACTACAAAATGATAAGCTCGACCAGGCCGGCCTCCCCTTTCAGCTTAGGGTCTATAAATAAATCATGATTGTTGATTTATGGATGGGCACAAGCGGAAATTGACCATTTGGTTAACGTGGCTCAAAGACCTTTGACAGTGTTGGTCAATGCAAACATATGCTAAATGGGGAGTGGTCTTCCCCTTTTTTGCCCCTGAACGCAGATGGTGATCAATGGCTGGTCATTCAATTTTGTAAGCAAAGCGTAAACTGATTGGGATCGAAGGCTGCAAGCATCGGTGTAAGGCCTCGGCGGATTGCAGACTGCAGTCACTGAACTTGCAACAACGGCCACAGAATGAGGAGGGAACTGGGGAAGAAACAGGCAAGGGAGACGTCAAGAGGCCAACAAACGCACGCATACCAAGACCCGCACACATGGCCAACATTGTCTGGGGGCCAACTAATAACAAACAACCGGCTTTCGCAGCGAGGCGCGAACAGAGAAAGACGTACAGTAAAACTACACAGCGTGATCTTCTGCTTGACTGTAATCGAAATATACCCTTAATAAATTTAGAAATACTGAGCATTTTATGGAACGTCTAATAAGTGGAAAAAGTACTAACATGGACAAAAATTCGAGGGTATACGACATAATAAAGACAAGTCGCTAAAATGCAATACATATTTTTATAAATATTTTTAATTGTACCTCTGTACAGAGACTGGGTCTCGATTATACAGATCCCTTAATGGTAAAAAAACAAGAAGAAACGCTATAGTCGATTGCTTCGACTGTCAGATACCCGTTACTCTGTTTCAAATAAAATAAAATTCCAGGTCATTTTGTATAGCACATACCACTGGTGCCAACGCCACGGCACCCAGCGGTCGGTAGCGGTACTACTGTTTAACTTAGTTACACAATGAGATTGGTTCGACTCCCAGTATTTAGATACGTATTTCGATCGATAAAATCCATTCCTATTTACACTGAAAGAAAATCTTCAAAGCGGACTTTAGCGTTATATGGCTTGGGCGCTTGGGCTTTATTGGCACTGATAGAATCTAAATGCAACAATTAAACTCTCCAGCTCGCAAACTACTCCACCTAGCGGCGAAAACTTTGAGTGCATATAACTTTTTAATAAATTATCCGATTGTATAGGTTTTTATCATGTGGACGGATAATGATAAACAAAACAAAATCTCATTTATACTCTTACAAAATCTGAAATCCCAACTGAGGGAAGCAGAAGGACATGACTAGACCGACTTGTCTAGTAATCCTGATTAAGAATATCTATGCTTTTTTACCTGTAAGGGGTATACAAAATATTTATTGAATTATTTGTATAGAGTGTACCCTGTACAGGTAGAGAAAGAGGTGCTGGGTGCGGTGGGAGTTGAAGAAAAGTTTGTTTACTTTGGAGGCAGCGAAAACTTGTTGCTGGGCATGCGCATAAGTCACTCCCAGTTGTTGTTGCTGCTGTGATGTTGATGCTGCTGTTGCCGCTGCTGATGTTGCTGCAGCAAATTGCGCGAATTCCTTGGTAGCCACGACAGAGCACATCTGTCGTCACATTGGGCCAATTGTCGCTTCCCAACACTGTCTTGCAAGCGAGGTGAAGGCCGCAGAAAACTCGATCCGAGCTCCACTCTGGAGCTCCTCAAAGCCAAGTCACCATAATTGCATGGCCG